AATTTGGGCGGGGTCCATGGTAAGGTTACTAGAGCTAGAGGCAGTAACGCGACCACTACGCAATTGCATACACGGTAACACGACTACGTAAAGTGCACCACTGAGATCAATAATCAACAATCAACTAGTGCCAACCGAAAAATCAGTTATTGAAATTATTATTATTATTATTATTTATTTATTTATGCATTTATTATGTTATTTTGTCAATTTAAAGGTTGGGGTTACTTATGGCTCGATCGCAAGCTAATACTACTAATGCTAATAAAATAGAAAAGCAAATGTCCAAATACTAGGTCTAGTCACGTGGGGTAAACGATTGAGTAATGGAATTTAGTTCGTGAAATATAATCGAATAGGTTTAAGGCAATATCATCAAATGGCCGGCACACAACGAGTTAATTGATGCAATTCTAAAATAAAGAAATAGCGTCAACTAAGAAATAAATAGGATCAGGAACTCCCTGAGTACTGTTGGTTTGAGTCGTCCCAGCGTCGAATGTCTCCACGCTCTGAACTACTAAGCCTTGAGATGCCAAGACAGACAATTCCGTGCTCGTCGAGATGCGGTACTGAACAGTCAACTAAAATGAACCTGTAAATGATGTCAGAAAAAATTAAAATTCACGATACAATTTTTTTTTTTTTTTTTTTTTTTTTTTTTTTTTTTTTTTTTTTTTTTTTTTTTTTTTTTTTTTTTTTTTTTTTTTTTTTTTTTTTTTTTTTTTTTTTTTTTTTTTTTTAGAATAATACAAAATCAGAATAACAAAATAATAAATGAGCCCATTTCACAAATTTGGGCCTAAATTACAATCAAAATCTCAATCAAGCCCAATCCCAATCCCAATTGATAACTAATAACCCAACCCACTTAATTATTCAACCAATTAATCCAAAACCCAATTGATAACTAATACCCAACCCACTTAATTAATACATCAATTAATTCACAATCCAGTTAACCCCACCCAATAACTAAGAACCCAATCACGTAAGTAATAATCCAATTAATCCCATATTTCATTAGAACAAGCTGCGGCTGAAGGCTGTCGAAATCGGCGACTGGACTGGAGCTGGAAAAGATGGGGTCTTTCTCGCAGCATCATTCTTCGGTCGTACTGCCTCTGTAAGGTGGATATCGGCGGTTGGTTCAGAAATATTTGGTGTTTTCTTGAAAAATGGTGCTGCTGGTTTGACGGAGGTGCCGTTTCGATTTTCGTGAATAGAGATGGCGGTCACGGGGTGGTCTGATTTCTGGGTTACTGCGAGTCTGTGACTGTTAGTGGTGGTCGTGTGGGAGGTGGTTACCGTTTGAGGTAGGGGCACAAACCGGTTGTTGTAATTTCGGTGGGTATGGTTCAATTTCTTCACGCTGTGGTGAGGGCGCCGGATGCTGGCTGTGGTGGTGGGGTGTGAACTGAAAAGGCCTTTGTCTCAATTGTTTGGCTGTAATATCGGTAAGTTGGTTGTATGTAGAGGGAGGTGGTGACGGTGTTAGTCACGGCAGGTTACTTGGCTTATGGCAGTTATATTTTTTGGTGATAACGGTTTCGGACTTTGGCAGTAAGGCAGCCGGAAAGATTTTCTGTTGCAGGAGGGGGTGAAGGTATTAACCGGATTCGGCAGAAACTGATTTTGAGCAACGCAGTGCACACCTAATTTTTGGCAGCTTTTGGATTTTGCAGTGAAAACTTCCCAAGTTTCGCTCTGATACCAATTTGATGTAGAATAATCCAGTAAACATAATAAGAAGAGAAGAGAGAAGAGAGGGGAAGAAGAAGGCAGAGGCGGGGAGAGAGGAGAAACGGCTGAAGCCAACTCTTTTATTTCATCAAATTCATTAACTCAAATAACAATGTAAGATAGGTTTAAATACTGAAAAAATAATGCAAACCTAGGGCCAAGCCCAATACAAAAGTCCATGAAATTAAAATAACCTAAGTTCCAACTAAAATAATTAAAATTGCTAAAATTAATTAAAATTGGATGTCCTCATCAAATTGCAACTGAGGTGATCTTATCGTATGGACCTTTCAGATATGTATGTTTGTGAATGCTCTGAAATAACTTTTGCCTATCGAAGAGGACTTCTCTTGGCCTAAAGGGGGCTTCAGACATCCTGCATTATTAATCATTGTATAACATTCTATATCAATGAATTCGTGAAAATCTACTACCCAAAACATCTTCAAGTATCTGAACAAATTGTGCGCATAAACAATAAACAACTGGCTAACCATGTTGAGTATATTTTCGATTTCCCTTGTTTTTTTTTTTTACCTAGTTAACATAACACGACCTGCGCTTAGTTGAGGGTTTTGGTCTGTACCCCAGGTAGGTAGAGAGAAAAAAAGGGGTGACCATGAAGGAACACTTGTTTTAGTCTTCCACAGAGCAGTATACAAACACAACTAATATCAGATATCAAGAACTTGTAATTCAACGATAGAAGCAAAAGCAATTTTTAATATAAATCTGAGTTCTTCTAGATGAAGTCTTTGCTTTATGTAATGAAATGCCTTATCATGTTAACCTTCCGGGTGTGCCCTGAAATATTCTCAATCCAGGTAAAAATGAAAAAAGAAAAAAAATGGATTCCCTAATGCCAAATAAATTTGAAGTAGGTCTACAAATATAAGAATGACGTCTATGCTTTCAGCCAGTCCACAAAAATTCCTACATAAAAACAATAAAAAGAAAGAAAAATGGGAAAAGAGCTTCGATAACGAATCTCTCTCTTCTACCCAGTAAAGAACTAAAGTTAGAAGTATGTCTCAAACCATAAAAAATTAAAAGAGAACAATGTAAAAAGCTTCTTAGAGTATCTCCAAGATGCTCTTTAAATACAAAATACTCTCTATTTTAAAGAGTCAATATTTAAAAATGAATTCCAAGAGACTCTCTATTTTAACTTTTTAAAGTAGAGAGCGTATTTGGTTCTCCAAATTTAGAGAGCCAAACTCACTCTCTATTCTTAATGTACAATGATTACATTTAATACATTACAAATTTCAATACTCTACAATTTAAAATTTTCAAATTATATTTGAATGAATTGGTCATTAATATATAAAAATCTTCTATTTAAATAAAATGTGTGGAGAAATTATTAAATGTTCATTGGGAAAAAACAAATAAAGAATCAAAATAGAGAGCTTATTGGAGTGTATAAAAAAATCTCTCAAAATTTAAAGATGCTCTTTATAAATAGAGAGCCTTTTGAAAATGCTCTTAAGAATTTTAGCTTAATTGTCCTGTTTCATTTCATTCAAATTCACACCGTAAATTATTATATCATACATTCTTGCTGGTGTTGTTCTATCATAATTGAAATCCGGGGTCCAGACACAGCCTTAAATAAACTGGTATGTATATACACACAATATAAGAAAATACACAGTCTCATCTACAAACAACCGTAATCATATACATTCGACCAAACCATCATCCGCGAAAACTCGGATTTGGTCTTCCACTATAAATTATTACATCGTACATTCTCTCAGGTATTGATTTATTCCAATTGAAATCCAGGTCAATTACGAAGTTCGGTTTATACACACACGGTATATAAACAAATACACATTCTCTTCTACACAATATGTACGATTGAACCATCCTCCATGAAAGCTCATATTTGGTCTCAATAATACAAATCTAGGGTTTTAGATTTAAAAATCCTCCACAAGCAAAATTTCTTGTACGCATACGCATAAAAAATAAAAATAAATAAAGAAAACATAATTACATAATCAGGAGAAAATAAAAAAAAAAATTATGAAAACGCAGATCTAATCTAATAGGGAAAAAAAAAACACAGAAAATACAAATAAAAATCAATTAAAGTCCATTAACAAGTAACAAACCCTAGATAAGTAATTGACATTAACAGGAACAAAATAAAGATAAAATTTGAGGATTTGAGATAGGATAATATATTTACCTGATCTGGTGAAAAGACACAAGCAAAAGAGAGATTGACAACGGAGAAGATTGAGGAGTGCGAGGAATGACAAAAAGGACAATATTGAGAATTGGGAATGAGAAGTAACCGAACGGGCAAGAAGAAGAATTCGGAGTTCCGGATACGATCCGGTGAATTTTAATCTGGTTTTTTAATCACTGACCCGGCTTGCCAAGGCCCGAGAAGGTGGCCCCTGACTTGGAGCTAGAATGCAAAATTGACATAAAGAGCATTGCATTAAATAAATTAATAAATCTTAAGACTTTTGTATTAATAAATAAACCGTAACTGTGTGTATTTTAAAATTTTGACATCTCTTTCTCGATACATAGGTAGGATGGTTCAGTCCAAGTATTATTAGAACCTGGATTATTTATTAAATTTTAGATTTCATTTAATTGTTGAAAACAAATCAAAATTGAAACCATATGGTTCGATTCTACCATAGCATTTTATTTTATTTTTTAAAAAAGTCAGAAACTTACAAAGGTAATAGTTCAATTTATTTCTTTCTAAAATGTAAATAGTTATATTAAACTTTGCACTCTTCTCCTTTAGAAGATGGAATGCCCATTTTCTTTTACATCTTCATTAATAATTTATAATTCTGACTGCTCGTCTTATTTTTAGTATTTTGCTAAAATCAATTAATATTACATAGTTATAATAGCAGAATATAGGGATGAACATCGGGTTCGGTCCAACTTTTTCACGAACTGGAATTATCATGAAATTTCGAGTATTTTGCCGAAGGAATAATTCTATATCTTGTAATTTTTTACAACGAAAAAGTTCCGTTGATTCCGATTAAAGTATTAATCCCTATACTCAAGTTTGAAAAGTACGAATCATACTCTTCTCAAAAACTAACAAAATTTTTAATTTGGGAAAATAGCATATTTGGTTCCTCAACCTTTCTAGAATGTATAGGATATATCCCCAACCTTTAAAATTGGCACCAGGGGTTCCCAAAGTTTGAGGAAATAGGCATTTTAGGTCCCCTAATGATAGATTCCGTCCATCTCATTCGTTTAGATTGCATAAAAAGACAAAATTGCCATCCCCTTTAAAAGGCAAATCAAATAAGAAATAGAGAAAAATATCATGCTACATGTACAAACTTTTTTTTACAAACTCAACTCATTACTCACAATAAGGATAGGGACCACAGGCCGATATTTTTTAAATTCACATGGGATCCGCTAATTTTGTGAGAGTGAGTATACCATTTTGTCAACAAAATTTTGTACAAATATCTTTAACCAAAAAAAAAAATAACCCAAAAAGAGAGAGAGTAACAAAGAGACCCTCTTTTTTCACCCCTAACTACCAAAAGCAACCACCACCTACACGTCGATCATCTTCTCACACCCTAACACCCAACCTTTCCTAAACTTACCTCCACCATCACTACACTCACAACCACACCGCCGCTCACAATCACAAACAATACAATTTATCAACTAAGTAAACGTGAGATTTGTGCAATTTAGGAATATTTGCTCTTCTATCAAACTAAATTCAATAACGTTGGTTGGTTTTGATACTCAAGCGACCCGTCTTGCTAAATATAGATGCAAATGTTAGATTTTACTAAACTCCCTCATAAATAACTTAACGCGTATGAGTTAATGTGTATGTCAATCTCTCCACAAAGTGAAATCACTATAATTTTCAACATCATTACTCCAACTAAATCCATTCTTCATAGCTGGTGGAGTCAGAAGCATCCCCTCCGCCATGCTGTCGAGCAATCCTGGCATGTTAAACATCGCTTCCTCGTCCAAGAACTCGATTTCAATATTGGATGAATCAGCCCACGTATTGGGAGGTTCTATTTTGAGATTTTCCCTCGATAGATTCGAAGAATTCAGTGAATTATTAGAGGAAGAACGAGGAGATAATTCCATTAATGGTGGTGCAAATTTAGCAGCTTGAAGAGCAGCAATTCGTATATCTTTATGGGATGAAGATTTGGCCCTGGGGAGGCACCAAGCAGAGTCATTGAAGTTCAAGGCGGCGGCTCCACCCCGCAGGGCCAATGCCGTAAGAAATAGAGAAAAATATCATGCTACATGTACAAACTTTTTTTTACAAACTCAACTCATTACTCACAATAAGGATAGGGACCACAGGCCGATATTTTTTAAATTCACATGGGATCCGCTAATTTTGTGAGAGTGAGTATACCATTTTGTCAACAAAATTTTGTACAAATATCTTTAACCAAAAAAAAAAATAACCCAAAAAGAGAGAGAGTAACAAAGAGACCCTCTTTTTTCACCCCTAACTACCAAAAGCAACCACCACCTACACGTCGATCATCTTCTTACACCCTAACACCCAACCTTTCCTAAACTTACCTCCACCATCACTACACTCACAACCACACCGCCGCTCACAATCACAAACAATACAATTTATCAACTAAGTAAACGTGAGATTTGTGCAATTTAGGAATATTTGCTCTTCTATCAAACTAAATTCAATAACGTTGGTTGGTTTTGATACTCAAGCGACCCGTCTTGCTAAATATAGATGCAAATGTTAGATTTTACTAAACTCCCTCATAAATAACTTAACGCGTATGAGTTAATGTGTATGTCAATCTCTCCACAAAGTGAAATCACTATAATTTTCAACATCATTACTCCAACTAAATCCATTCTTCATAGCTGGTGGAGTCAGAAGCATCCCCTCCGCCATGCTGTCGAGCAATCCTGGCATGTTAAACATCGCTTCCTCGTCCAAGAACTCGATTTCAATATTGGATGAATCAGCCCACGTATTGGGAGGTTCTATTTTGAGATTTTCCCTCGATAGATTCGAAGAATTCAGTGAATTATTAGAGGAAGAACGAGGAGATAATTCCATTAATGGTGGTGCAAATTTAGCAGCTTGAAGAGCAGCAATTCGTATATCTTTATGGGATGAAGATTTGGCCCTGGGGAGGCACCAAGCAGAGTCATTGAAGTTCAAGGCGGCGGCTCCACCCCGCAGGGCCAATGCCGCCACATCGTGAGCCCTAGCTGCCATTTCTGGGGTGGCAAATGTACCAAGCCAGATTCTTGATTTCTTGTTTGGTTCACGCACTTCACACACCCATTTGCCGCTGTTCCTCCGCCGTACTCCTCTGTACAAGGGGTGGCGCGTCTCCTTGAATATCTTCCTCCCACCTCTTTTCTTATGTGCTGATGGAATATCAGTGTTTGCTGTCATAACTTCATGGAATGAAGAAGTTGGTGAATTGTCTTGATGATCCGTAGACATAATTAAGAAACTAATTTTGACTCGTGGCCACCTGCCCCGTTGGAGTGGAATTAAACACTTCGGCTCTACGAAATCGATGAAAGACTACACTACGGTAGGTGGGGTGGAACGAGAAAATCGACTCCACGAAATCAATGAAAGACGATACTTTAGTAGGTGGGGAAGAACGAGAAACATGACTCTACGAATCCAATGAAAGACTACAGTTTGGTAAGTGACAATGGAACGAGAAACCTAACTCAAAGAATTACTAACCCGATAAAATACAACACTTTCGTAATTGCGCAATAGGAGCGACATGGAACTTTTTGTGGTGCTGGCAAAAATGAAGTGAATAACTTAAATTCTTAGCAAGTGAAGTAACAAATCTATCATAACTCTCGACGAATTCTTAAAATTTTAGATGGGACGAAAATTCTAATTTATTTTCTTAATCGGGACTTCTCAACATTTCTCTAATTTTAATGCAAGAGAACTAACTCTATTTATACTTTGGTTGTGGTTGGATATGGTTTTCTTGATCGGGAAGAATCACATGACAGCGAAGTTTGAGGTGAGAAACATTACTTGATTTATTACCAATTTACCATTCTCCCACGAGGTTCACAAAATTGAGCACGTGTTTTTGAGTTTGGACGTGAAAATTAATTTGGGCACGTGGTGATTAGGAGAAAAGCACATGGGGAAATAAATGACTGCAACAAGAGGACGGTTTGTTAGGTTCTGACAGTGACTTGTCTCTTACTAATAATAGAAAATTGAAATTGGGACATGAATTTGGTTCGTGGGTGTGGACCATTTTGACCACAACACGTGGCAACTTTGTCGTCAATTTTTATTTTTAAATTCGGCCGAAATTTAATAAATTTTTTAGTCTTTTTGCACGTGTTTTGGCTTTTGGTCTCAATCTCTCCTTCATTTTTTCCTCAGATTTTGATTTTCTTTTAGGTGTGTTTAATTGGAGAGATTTTCCATGGAGGAATTCCATTTTCCTTGATGGCTTTTTTTCTATGGAAATGAATTTCTTGATTGTCTTGTCACATATGATTTTTTTTGGTTTTCATGAAAACCAATTCCCACCTATACTGTAGTGAATTTTTATTTTTTAACAATGAAAACAAATTTTATCCCTAATTGTGTAAAAAAAAAAAAACCTTTTGATTAACAATTTTCATGTAAAACAAAGCCAAACGAACACAAAAGATAAATTATTTTCTTGGTATTTTTTTTTTTGACAATAGAAACAAAATTCATCCCCAATACTAGTAAATTCTATCTTTTTAATTGACAATTTTCATGTAAAATAAAGTCAAGCAAACACCAAAAAAATACTTTTATTTCAACATTTTTCACGTGAAAAATTATATCAATCAAACACAATAATTTACAATTATCAAGAAAACAATTTCTAGACAATTCAATTCCCTGGAATTCGTTTTCTTTTCACTCAAGTTCCATCTTTGCAATCAAACGTACCCTTATAGTATTTGGATTTACTATCCAATAATTCGAGTCAATTAGTCTCTGAAAATATTACACGTCTCACATAACGTATTAATTAATATAATGTAAAATTTACCATATTGTGTTGTTTCTCTATTTTTTCTTCGTTTATATCACAAATCCCACGTTCTTACTCCCTTGTCTCTCAGTCTGACCCTTTCTATGTCCCCTCCTTCTCGTGATTTACCTTAATTATGCATTTTGACCTTGAGTAGTGCTCCTTGACTATGGTAATCCAACGGAAAAACGAGTTTGCTTATGTATCATAAGCTTCAAGTGTATACTCGCTACAATTTACTTGTCTACATTTATGAAACATTTGAACATTGAAATTAAGGTCTAGAAAAGCCACTCATTAGGATGCATAATTAATTTAGAGTGTGTTTTATAAGTTCATTATAATTTAATTATTTTTTTTATCACACATATTGTAGGACCCACAATTACTATTCATTTATTCATCTTTTATTTCTATTGACGTTATAATTTCGACTGCTTGGAATGAAACCCCATCATCTTCAATGGAGGGGGCTGGACGTGGACGAAGAAGAATATTTTATTTTTCTCATATATTTTTCTAATTCCAGATCTATAGAGTTTCAATTGTTCTAGCTAATAATCGGATAGGGTGGATAAAAAAAATCATGTGGATGGTCACAATTAAAATTATAGAAAACAATGTTGTGTTGTGTTTAAAATTTTCCTTTTTCATGTTCTATTTAATTTAAAAGAATGGTATACTTATATCACAAAATTTTTCAATATAATAAAAATCGATCAAAATGCATGCATAATTAAGTTCTAAGACATAAAATCTGCTAACAATATTATGGTTTTTTCAAAAGTGAACAAAGGTTTATTTTGATAAAGCAAAAGAAAATGCAAAAAAAAAAAAAAAAATACTATAATTGTGTTGAACATATGATTAATCTTGAAAATATTCTTGTAAAATAGTATGCTTATAAGAAGTGAATGGTCACAATGATTATGGTGGTTCTCAATTGGTTACTCGAGAACAAGATGTACTGGTTAAGTTTATTAAAGGTTTAAGATAAGAAGTCAACGAAAAAAAAGTTAGTCAAATAAGTATTACAATGAGCAAATATTGAGGACCTTAAGACAATAAAAATCATGGTGTGAATATAATTACGATATTCAGGGCGTGCTTAGATCCATTAAGATTGTACCACAAAAAAGCGCCATGTGGGGTTATTTTCTTTGGTGTGTATCACAATTTGGAAACAATTTGGGAATTCCCACTTTATAATTTGCAACCACCAATTTGAACATGGGTTGAAGCAAAATTGTTTGGCTCTTCTGCATTAAGTATAAGAACCAATCGAACTTGTTTCAATCCATGTCCATAATGATGGTTGTACTCTTCTAGCTCAAATAAAATCACAACGGAGAAAAATCTCGTAAAAAATATTCAAGCGCATTAAAGCATATTCCAATTCGCTCCATCTTAAAGAAACAATACAAAGACACACGGCAACCACTATCAATAAACTAGAGGCTTGTTCGATAGTAATTATAAGAATTAATTTTTTTATCATTGGAAAGATAAGTGGATACCACCTGTGGAAGAATTAATCAAAAATCACAGTTCACTTAAGTAACAGTCAAAAAATTGATTTTTAAAAGTAAAAAAATCAGAATAAAAAATGCACTAAATCAAGTCAAAGGACGAGAGAAATGAGAACTGGGGAAATACCCCAACATACACCAACATGAAAAAAATTATTCAATGAATCTGCAACGCTAAA